AAAGAGTCACAAAGAATTCTGTGTCTGTGTGTCTGTCTGCTTGTGGTGGGTGGGTGAGAGAGAGCTGGCATACACTTGCTGGAGGCTGGGCATCTGTGTGACTTAGTCCCTGTAAGAAGCAATGAAGGCACACACAGAACAGGCTCCTCCATCCTTAGAGTCAATTCTCCCTATCCCATGCCTATCTTGCCAAAACTCTGAATTACCAGTCTACACTCATTAGTCCACATGTAGTCAGTTTATTAAAGCCAGGGTTTCATCACGGATCCAGAAGGGACAAGGTGGAGATACTGTACCCCTCCTTTCTCTGCTCCCTCCAACAACTCATCTACAGCCCAGCCCCCCGGACAAGATCCCAGGAACTATGGCTGGCGTTAGGCATAAATACATAGAGGCCATAGCCTGAATCAGCAGCGTCAAGGGGGCAGGGAGACTGGACAAGAAAGGATGGCTCTAGGGCACCTCTTTCAGGGCTTGTCCTGAGCCCATGGGCCCACAAAGCAAAAGACAAGGGACCAGTGGGCTGCCCTAGGGTCTGAGGCTACAGCCAGCCCTGTCCAGCGAGGCTGGCGTGTGGCTCCAGGTTATCGGGGAAGAGCAGGGAACAGGTGTGGGGCTTAGGTGCTGTTGCCCTGTTCCTGCTCAAAGAGTAGCATGGCAAGCTGGGTGCGGGAGCCCAGGCCCTCCAGCACGCTCTGGCGGCAGCGGTGGTACAGATCCTCACTCAGCCGAGCGCTACACGGCTGGGCCCGGTAGCGCTGCAGCAGGGCCGGTTCCACTGCCCGCAGCACATGCAAGCTGGAGAAGCGCAGGAACAACTCGTACACATCCAGGCTCTCCAGCAGCTCCTCCTCCTGCTCAGAGGCCGCTGCCAGCCGTCCGCGGGCTGCCACATAGTCGGAGTTGTAAAAGCACGCCTCACTGGCAGCCTGGCGGTCAAAGTGGCCAGTATCCCGGCCCAGTTCTGGTGGCCCAGGCCCCTGGGGTGGAGCCACGGCAGGGTGAAAGGCCTGGAAGTGCATGGGAAAGAAGGCCTGCCAGCCAGAGATGGCATGCATGCGACAGCGGTTCAGGAAGTCAGATGTGAGCACTGTGTCTGGCCCGGCCAGCAGGAACAGAGTGTCTAGTGGGTGCTTCTTGGAGAGCAGATCCATGAGACGCAGCGGAGAGGGGGCAGCTGTCTGCACACTGAGCCAGGGCACTCGGGCACCGGGAAAACGCCGTTCTAGCTCCGCTACGTGGGCCTTGACAGGTGCAAAGACATCCGCATGGGCTGCCCGCTGGGCCTGGCGGGGCTCGTACAGCAGCAGCAGAGTCAAGGATGCTGCATCTCCGGGCTCCAGCGCTGCAGTAGCAAAAGCATCTAGGAAACCAGAAGCCAGGTCACGTTCGGCTGCAGCGAGCGGCAGTAGCACAGTAAGCCGAGATGCCTCAGTGACATAGGGCACTGGCAAGATCTCCACTCGGCTCAGGGGGCGGAGGAGCTGCACCCTTCGGGTGAGGGGCCAGCGGCCACCCTGGGGTGTCAGTGCTTCCAGCTGCAAGTCTAGTGTGTACTCCATGCCTCGGGCTGGATCAAAACGCCTGTAGCCATTCACCAGCTGCTGCTTCTGGAGCCGCAGTGCTGGCTGATAACGGCGGTTGAGCTCCTCTAAGGCCGTCCCCAGGACATCAGCCACATCAGCCTGGTCAGCCCCACGCAGTGGACAGCGGGGCGAGCCATCGGCACAGGAGAAAGCGTACTGTTCCGTGAAGTAGTCCCAGCGCAGAACCTCAAAGCGTGAGGCGGGGCGAGATGGTGCTGGAATGCCCACTGGCCAGGCAGAAGCCCGTTCCCCATCAGCAGCCAGTCTGCTTGTATTCTGGATCTCCCACTGGGCCAGAAGAACAGATCATGAGCAAACTTGGGAGCCATATGGTCAGAATCCATCTAGAGGCTATGTGGGCAGTGATACTCAGGGAGGACCTGCAGCCTCCTGCAAACCTCTGCTCACCCAAGGGCCCCACACGGTCTCTCCACAGGTTGAGGCAGCTTGAAAGTTAAAAGTGGAATTTCCTGGCAGTTCCACAGAGGTCAAAGACCCGGGATTTTAGCGCTGCCTTTTCATTTCCCACGATCTCTCAGAACCTGTTCCCCTTCACCCCCCAACCCTCAAGCCCAGACTGTACCTGCAATTCTCGAATCTCCTGGTAGGTGCGGTCCAGCTCAGCCCGGGCAAAGGCCTTGTGCAGCTGGTACATGTGCACAGGGTCACGCACAGGGTAGGCTGTCACGGCACTGCGGAAGCGAGGGTCCCCCTCCTGCACAGGCTCCCCAGGGCTCACCTCCAGATAGTTGTAGTACACTCCCTGGGGAAAGAAAGGGAGGGATCCATAATGGGAACAACAGAACTGTCTCCCCTCTGTCTCTTAGCCAGCGTCTCATCTCCTAATCCTGTGACCAGTTATGGACTTGGGAGATTTTAAGTTTATCTGATCAGTTGATGTTGTACAACCCTGGTCAGATCTTTTTGAGCTCATCTGTGAAAACTGTCTCAGAGATGTCCACAGAACTAAATAAAATAACTGATACTGAATACATATAATATGCACAGATCTCTTACTGTTTCCTAATCCCTATACATCCCTGCCTAGTAACTGTTTCCATCAGCATTCACGATGCTACTAAAGCCCAGAACTAGTAATTTACCTAGGACCACTGGGATTTTCAAAAACGTTAGATTAACATGGAAACGCAGGTCTGTGTCTCTACCACCCCATAGCTCTCCTGGGGAGAGACACTAGGGGGAGGTTGTCTTCCTACCTCATGGTCACCAGTACAGCCCACGCCTGTGGCATCAAGGATGCACCGTCCCAACCACTCATCTGGGCGAGCACTGACGATGTCATTGCGGCAGCTTTCCAGGTGAGGGCGCAGCTGCTGTAGCAAGGTGCGAGACAGTAAGACTCCAAAGCCCCCGTGGCAGTAACGGCCTCGGGTGCTCTCTCCACCGATGAAGTCCTGGGGCCGACCAAGATAGAGATGGGTTGCCGAGGCAAGGCTGAGGTGGCCAGCTAGACGTTCCAGTCCATGCGCCTCGGTGTAGGTGGCATCAGGCACTAGGAAAAACCAGTCAAAGTCATCGCCGTGTTGCTCCAGCAGGTGGCGCAGCGCCAGGTGCAGGTGTCCGATGGGCCGCTCTTCGCCCAGTGTCACCACGACCATGCCTGATGGTGTCCGGCGGCCCCGCGCACCGGTCAGGAACACTACACGCTCCAATCGGTGTCCCAGAGTTCGGTTCACAGCCACGCCCAGTGTAGGCAACGTGGCCTGTGAGGTCAGCACTGCCACCAGCAGCCTCTGCCTGATGCCCAGCTCCGTGCTGATATACCGAGTTCTGAGAAAAAGACAGTTAACGAACAAGATAGCACACAGGCTCCGCTTGTTATTTCTTCTCTGGGCCTGTTGTGCACCCATGAATAGGATAAGAATAACATCTCTCCCACGAGGCATGAGAATTTAAATGAAATACTGGTCTTCGCACTGGAAGATAGCAAGTTCCATGCAGGTAACAAAAAGAGATTTTAGATCTAATTCCAGATTTCACAGGCTAGAACTTGTGTCCCTGAGCATGATACTTAATTTGAGCCACCTGTAAAATGGGATTGATTGTACTTAAACAGCAAAATGCTTGGCACACCGTGCATATACTTCCTACTATATGAAGATGCTGTCATCTCCCTGAGTATGTCCTATAATGATGTGTAGGAATTCATGGAATAGTGGTATAGAGAATGTCTTTCTTGGAGGGGCGAACTAAGACAGTAACTCACCTTCCTAAGATATAACGTAAGTTGTACAACTGGAATTCACTGTTTACTTAGGAGAAATTAACTTCAATTCGTGGGCAGAGGCATCAACGTGATGAGTACGTTCCTCCCTCTCCCATCTCATCCCAAAGTGGCCCTGGAAACCCATCGAGGAATGAAATACAGGTAAATTCCAGGTCCCTCCTTTTTCTTTCCCCCTCTTTATACACGTATCCTCCTTAACACTAATTTCTCTAATAGTAAACAGACCACCTAGGAGCTAGGAGGGTGTCTGGGGAACTATGGGTGCAGCCGTGTTAGCTCAGCTCAGATCCGGACATGATCCAGAAAAGGCTTCAAACTGGTCCCCTGGCTCCCTGGAAAGCAGGGTCATAGGAAGTAATCGAGGCCCAAGGACTTCCTGGCCAGCCAGCCCCTTCCTTCCGGAGCCTGACCCGGCCTCCGGTGGCCTCCCCAGCGCGCGCGACCGGGCTGGTACCCGGGGGGTGGGGCGGATGGAGCGGATCAGTACCTGACGGCCTTCTTGGTGGCCTGGCCGGGCTGTGCGGGATGGTAGGGCAAGACACGAGGCTCCCAGCTCTCACCGGCGCCTGCGCCGGCCCCGGCTCTCTCGCGCTCCGCTCCGGGTTGCACCGAGTTGGGCCGGCGCGCCGCGTTGGTGTTGCCGCGCGGCGGCAGCTCAGAGTCTCCGGGTTGGGGCGGCCCTGGGCCGCAAGGCTCCTCCACCCAGGTGACGCTGAGCAGGCTCAGGGTGAAGCCCAGGGAGATACCCACGGCCACAGGCCCCGCGGGCCGCAGCACCGACAGCAGCAGCGACGCCCGCATGGCGTCCCGACAGCGGGCCCCGTCCCCCGCGCAGCCCGAGGAGGCTCCGAGGGGGCGGGACCGGGGAGGGGGCGGATCCGGAGGGCCCGGGCCCAGCAGGCGGGCCCCCTCCCTCCCCGCCGAGCAGAGCCAGCAGCGAAAGCCGGAACCCCCGCGCTGCTCCGCTGTCCCTCCAGCTGCGCTTCGCCTCCGGGCCTCCCAGGCGGCTGCTGTCCGACGTGTCAGGCGAGGGCCCCGCCCCCGAGGTGGGATCTCAGCCGTCAGCTACCGGAGAGGATGGAGGGGGAGGAGGTTAAAGGGGAAGGACCCCCGGAAGTGCCCCCTCCTCAGTGCCGGAGAGGCAGACGCCGGGGGCGGAGTCCCCTGCTTCCCCCGGCGTGGTTGGTGCGTCCCAGGTGACGTCAGAAGCAGCCCGCCCCTGCCTGGATGGTGCACCCTGAGTGACGTCAGGAGCAGAGGCCGGAGCTGTCCATCAGCACCAAAGGCCGCCGGCGGGCTCAGGGCATGGGGCCGCGGCTCCGGGGCAGCCCGAGCTCCTGCTCCTGCTCCTGCTCCATTCCCTTTCCCGGGCTGGGTCCGAGACCCCGGGCTGTGGGGCTACAGTGCCAGCCGGTGTTGGAGGTGGAGCGGCGACGCCGTCGCACAGAGACCTGTCTCTCCGGCCCAGCAGCCCCCTTCACACGGCGGACTTTGCCCCGACCCCAGTCAGTAGGAACCTCTGGCGTCCCACCACCCCGGCTCCTCCGGTCCTTGAACAGCCTCTCTTGCTCGGAAGCTCAGGTCACCTCCAGCCCAGGTAGATCTTGGACAATCCCAAAATGAGCCTCTCCAGATGGTGCCCAGGCTGCCTCTTTTTTGCCAGCAGCGCCCTACCCTCGTCTGGCCCCATCTAGTCCCTCTTTTAAGTCCATCCTAACCGCCTCTAGCCAGGCACTTGTTTCCCTTTGTCTTTACTCCGGGTTCCGGAGACGCTTCCAGCGCTGCCTGATGTGGGCACCATTCCTTTGTCCACTGTGCCCTTGCTGAATTCCGCCACTAGCGCTGTTTTCCTGGTGGAGACCCACGACTGACTCTTGACCCCAATTTCCTCTCTGTCAGGTTGACCTGGGAGGGTGACCCTCTTCCATTCCCAGCACTATGCCGGGTACTATGGAAACTCTGCGGTTCCAGCTGCTGCCCCCGGAGCCAGATGATGCCTTCTGGGGTGCACCCTGTGAACAGCCTCTGGAGCGCAGGTATCAGGCCCTGCCGGCCCTCGTCTGCATCATGTGCTGTTTGTTTGGAGTCGTCTACTGCTTCTTTGGTGAGAGCCCCCCTCATTCTTCATGTAGTCCCTCCACTGTTTCCCTGAGGTTCCTTTTCTGGTGTCTCTCAAAACATTTTCAGCCCATCCCACCCCCATGGCAATATCTTTCTCTTATTGATCCCAGGTATATTTGTAGATTATTGACTCTGGAGTCCACAGAGCACAGGTTTTAAATTAGATTCTGAGTTTGAACCTGGCTCTATATGTTAGTCACCGTGATGTAATGGGTACATTAACCTGAGTCTCAGCTTTCCCACCTGGACAAAGGCAACAATGTTTGTCTCATACAGGCACAAATTAGTAGGTACTCAAAGAATAGTAGCTATTGTAGTGAAGATGTGTTTGGATCAGCAGGCTAAGCAGACACTGAAAACACTTAGCATGGTGATTAAACATGGTCCCTTACAGCAGGGCATATTGTATGGTGGGGGCGAGACCTGGAATATTCACACTTGTGGTACATATTAGTGTGGGCTGTATGGTAGTCACACACATGGAGATCGCCTACAAGGCAGATTCCCATAAGGATGGGTATTGTGAAGAGTTGTATGGGGGAGGGCGTGGTATGTCTGTAATCCCAGCATTCAGGAAGCTGAAGCAGAGGAACGGAAGCGCAAGTCTAGTGTGGATTACATGGTACAGTGGTGTGTGTGTGGTGTGTGTAACTGCAGGAGTTCAGTTGAACAGGTGAGTGTGGGTCCAGTTGACAGCTCTCAAGGTCTTGGCTACCTTCCTTAGAGAAAAGTATACCTTTTTCTCATTTCCACAGAGATATCACATGGGTCAGTGGCAGCTTAGAGTAAATGCCCAGTGGGTTCTTCAGAAAGTTATAGAACTTCGCAGTGGAGACTGTTTTCTATGTGTAGGGTCCCAAAGACAGCCTCCAAGCAGATGTTGTAACTAGTTTGGGCAAAATGGCTGGCAGTTTGCCCCAGTGTGGCAGACTCTATACCTTCTGTTAGAATAGTTGGAAATTTGGGGTGTGGGTCAGATGGTCTTACTTTTACATTTTTTGCAAGGTGGGCAGAGAAATGCTCCCCCACAAGAGTTTAGGATATGTAATGGGTCTTCAAAGGTCTCTATCCCCTCTGTTCTGTGTGTACCTACTCCTTCTGCATGGTGCTCTGGACAGCTTAATTCCTTATCCTCAGCTTTCCCATCATCCTACCCATTTTGGATGCTCCTACCATGGGATTCAGAGACTTTTTCTAAACTCTGTTCCTCTCTGACTACAGAGCCTTCTGGGATCCGATACCCTCATGCTTGGGACCAAATCTCCCTTTTGTCTTTATTAAATTTCTCTTTGGCTCTCCCTGCCTCTCCTTGACTCCCAACTCTGACTTCTGCCTTCCCTACTGTTGAAGATCTATACCCGCTCTCTCCTTCATACACTGCTAATGGTGGAAAGTCCCTATAACCTGCTCTTCTGAAACTTCACAACCACAACTTCTCCGCATGGTCCTCTTGGATTTCCAACAGTCCTATACGGATCCTAGCACCCTCCCAATGGTTCTCTTTGATCCCTGTCACTCTGATCGGGAGACCGTTCCTCATCACTGTGGTCTCTAGTGATCCCATTTCTCTGGCCTTAGTGTTCCCCTTTGTCTTTAATAATCTTAATGATTCTCCTTCTATCTGCAAAGACCTCATCGCCCCATAACCCAGCTCTGCTATCTCTGCAACCTTCCAGAAGTGCTTTAGCTCTGAAGCCCTATGACCAAACAAGGATCTCACCTTGTATGGGATGTAAACTTATGTGACCTCATCCTTATACATAACTTTTCCCCCTGACTTCCATGTTCTTCATCTCTGACTAGTCCTCCTCAGAGGCCCTAAGAACTCATTATTGATGCCCTTGTGACTCCAAAGAGTGATCTCTCTGAATCACATGATTCTAAAGACTCTTATTTCCCTATTACTGATATACACGATCCCAATGATCCTTAACTCTATCCCTCAGACTTCAAAGCATTATTTCAATAATCAATGTCTTCCCAGTGATTCCCAGCAAACATCTATATGGTCCCCTGACCTCTAGCTCCACCACTGAGCCCTTGTGACCTCTAATTCTCTTATTATAGCACCCCTGCCTCTGATTCCCTTGTGTTTCTATGTTCCCACTCTCTGACTTCCAACCTGGAAACGCCTTCTTGGCCCCTCACTGACCCTGTTCTCCTCTAGGTTACCGCTGCTTCAAGGCAGTCCTCTTCCTCACTGGGTTGCTGTTTGGCTCAGTGGTCATCTTCCTGCTGTGCTACCGAGAGCGGGTTCTGGAGACGCAGCTGAGTGCTGGGGCAAGCGCAGGCATCGCACTGGGCATTGGGCTGCTCTGCGGGCTGGTAGCCATGCTGGTGCGCAGCGTGGGCCTCTTCCTGGTGGGGCTGCTGCTCGGTCTGCTGCTCGCTGCTGCCGCCCTACTGGGCTCTGCCCCCTATTACCAGCCTGGCTCCGTGTGGGGCCCACTGGGGCTGCTTCTGGGAGGCGGCCTGCTCTTTGCCCTGCTGACGCTGCGCTGGCCCAGACTGCTCACCACCCTTGCCACTGCTGTGACTGGTGCTGCCCTCATCGCCACTGCCGCAGACTATTTTGCTGAACTGCTACTGCTGGGGCGCTACGTGGTGGAGCGACTGCGGGCTGCGCCTGTGCCTCCCCTCTGCTGGCGGAGCTGGGCCCTGCTGGCACTCTGGCCCCTACTTAGCCTGATGGGCGTTCTGGTGCAGTGGAGGGTGACAACCGAGAGGGACTCCCACACAGAAGGTGAGAGGGCACAGGCTAGGGTGGGCATGGGAAGAAGGGATGGACAAAGATGGTGGGGTGATTGGGGGATTAGTAAGAGGGGACGGAAGCTATATACACCAAAATTGGAAAGCCTCAGTTAGAAAATTGACTTGACCAGGGTCTAGGAGAATAGGGTTTAATAACAATATTCACTAGAAAGGAATGTGTGGGACACCGGCTCTAGGTCAAGCCCATTCCAGGCACTGGGGTGATACAGAGAGAGGTGAAACAGAAGAAGGATAGAGGATGTAGCTCAGTGGCAGCATGCTTGCCCAACATGCGCAGGGCTCCGAGCTTGATTCCCAGGACCACAAACAAACAAATGCTACCAGAGACGGGGGTCATGCTCTTATGAGAGTCCAGGGCAGCTGAGAAACATACTAAACATGCAAACAAACATGTAAATTAATTCTAATTGTACAGAGTGATATGGAGTGATACAAAGTAATATGAAACTTTCACCTTACGGATTCCACTGTAGTTAGAGTGGCCAAGGAAGGCTGATGGTGTCAACCCTCTGCGCCGAATTTTGTTAGGACAGTGAGATGCCCATGGAGGGCTTAGGGTAGCGGAGGAAATAATAGGTTAATGTTGGGAGATGTAGAACACATTAGAGAAATGGTTCTCAATCTTCCTAATGCTGCGACCTTAATATAGTCCCTTATGTCATGGTGACCCCCAAACACAAACTTATTTTTTGTTGCTACTTCATAACTGTAATTTTGCTACTGTTATGAATCATAATGTAAATATCTGTGTTTTACAGTGGCCTTAGGCAACTCCTATGAAAGGGTCGTTTCACCAAGTGGATTAGATCCACAGGTTGAGAACCACTGCATTAGAGGGAGGCGAGCAGAGAAAGCAACAGTGAGGAAGCAGCTGTCCAGTTGAAAGATGATGGCAGCTGGCCTGGGAGTCACCCAAGGCCTTAGGGTTGGCACAGCAACAACAGTTGCGGGGGGGGGGGTTGCACATACGTGCCTTTGCGAGAAAAGAAAAGCTGGGAAGTGCCATCTTGGAGGTGAGAGATCAGGAAAGGAAGTAACAGAGTGGAAGTGTGGGTCACATGCAAGGGACTGTGGAAGCCTGAAGCTCCTCGAGGGTAAGAAGGGAGAGGGCTCGGGGAAGAGCTATATGAACTTGAGTCTCCTGTGCCCATCCCTCTACAGTGGTCATCAGCAGGCAGCGAAGGCGAGTGCAGCTCATGCGGATCCGGCAACAGGAAGAACGCAAGGAGAAGCGGAGGAAGAAGAGACCCCCTCGGGCTCCTCCCCGAGGTCCTCGAGCTCCTCCCCGGCCTGGTCCCCCAGACCCTGCCTATAGACGCAGGCCAGTGCCCATCAAACGCTTCAATGGAGATGTCCTCTCCCCGGTGAGGTCCCAGAGCCCCTCCAGCTCCTGGGTGGGAAGTGTATGTAGACTGACTGTGCAGGACTGAATCTTCTTGGGGGACACTGACCTTAAGGCCTATGCTTGTCCATCCATCAGAACCTCTATACCTGGGCCCTGATGGATCCAACTGGGCAGGTGTCCCAAGTACTGACACTAAGTGGACATGGTATATGGTGCCTTTTAGGGTTGATGCTTTGGGTTTATGCAGGCCAGGGGAGTGTCAGGCCTGGGTGGGACATGGAGAGGTGGTTCTGCAGCAGGACTCACACTGGTGTTTATCTCCTCCACAGAGTTACATCCAGAGCTTCCGGGACCGGCAGACTGGGAGCTCTCTGAGCTCCTTCATGACCTCACCCACGGACACGGACTTTGAGTATGGGTCCCGGGGGCCACTGACAACCTGCTCGGGACCCCCTGTGCGGGTGTAGTCATGTTGCCTGTCTAGACTCTGCAGTCACCAGCTCTACCAGCTTAGAGAGTCCTGCCAGGCCACTGCTGAGGCTGCACGGCCCTGTGGTCTTTGACTGTCTCTCTCCCCTCCTTGGAGGGGGTTGGCCAGCCACCGGAAGGGAGGCTGTGTCTCAGGCTAGGTAGGCCTGGCCTGAGGGAGAAACTCCGGTCCAAGCTCCCGAGGGACTCGGGATGTGAGCCCCACTGGGACGTGCTCAGGGTTCTGTGTTGCCCATATATGCGTGTGTGAAGGGGGTAGGCTTTGAGGGGACACTGGGACCCTTGCCTTAGATTTCTGATTGGCAGGGCTTCTTCAGGGCCAGCCCCGCCTCCTATCCCACTGCTGGGGTCCCATGGGCCACTCTCCTGCATGTCTGTGAGGAAGAGGCCGGCCTGCCTCCCCTATTGCTCTACCTTCCAGCCACTCATCTAAGGGTTCTCGTCATTGTCCATGGAGCTAATGACAGCACCCCTGACCCTGGTTCCCTGGCCTCTGCAAAGCAAGCAGCCTGAAGAGCCATGGCAGGGAATAGGGGCAGGGAGTGTTGTTCTCGGTTGGGTTTGGGAGGAGGGTGGAGGGAGAAGGGCTTAAATGCACGGTGCATGTCTGGTGTCTGTCATACCACCCTAGACACCTCATGCTTCTGTCCCCTCCCACCCTGTTTAACAACTTTTATAAATGTGCCAAACTATGTGCCCTCTGCCAGAAGTCTTCAGTAACTGGTACTCCCATCAATCAAGTTGGAAGCCCTGCAACCTCAGAGCTATGCCACTGACTATAGGGGCTCCAAGCATGGCCTGCCCTCCCATGGCACACAGACAGGCGTGGGCATGAACGGTAGTGTTTGTTTGTTTTTATTGTTTCGCTATCTCTGACTCTTCCCATCCACCATGCCCAGTATAAGGGTACACGCCTCCTTCTGTACCATCCGTCCGAGGGCATTTGCCCAGTCGGGTTCAGTCCGCTAGTCACCTGTAGAGGAACGACTGCATGTGGGACTGGGGTGGGGAGAGTGGGCAAAGCCAGTTTCCTCCCTGTGGCAGCCCTTGGATACCCACAAGGGGAAGAGCTGGGTCCCACCCTTTCAGAGCCTCTGTCAAGGGTGTCTGTGGGGCCAAGAAGGTGTGAGACGGTAGGGTGGAACACACAGCAAAATGTGTGAAAGATAAGCAAAGATCTGGCGTAGGATGGGCACCTCCTACGTGAAAGAGGTAAAGAATGGAAGGAGCTGTCTCCCAGTTAGCAGAGCAGAAGCCAGCTGGACAAAGGGCAGGGGCGGGTGAAGGACAGGTACCAGCAGATACTGGTGGGTAGTGAGAAAGACAGCAACTGGTAGCAATGGGGTGTTTGGGGGTGACAAGCATGCTCCAGGAACAGAGGGAAGAAGCCCTAGAAAGAAGGGTCCTAGGAAGGTCGGGGAAAGGTCCCTTGAGACTCAGGGCTTCCTCTCCTCCACAGCCTTGGGCGTGATCTCTCCCGCCCCTCCCCCACTCCCCACATGCACCAGCACCTGCAGCCAAGAGCCCTTTCCTGAGTCCTGGAAAACCTCCCATAGGTGTGTCTCAGCGCTGCAGCTTCCAGGGGGCACCCCCCCCTGCCCGGTCAGCCTCCTGTTCCCGGGATTCTGCCCAGAGGGCTTTACTCACCCTCTACCAGCAGCTGTGTGTCAGCACTGTCCTGGCCCGCCTGGCAGCTGTAGATGCCCTGGTCCTCAGGTCGGACGTCACGGATGACCAGGCTGTGGGTGGGACCGTGGCTGCGCATCTCATACTTGTTTCCGGGACACAGTTCGACCCCCTCCCGCAACCAACACACGTAGCCTCCAGGGCGGGACACAGTCACCTCCAAGACCGCCCTGCGGCCAGCCAGGACAGTCTTCTCGCGAGGTGGGCGGCGGCACATCTGGAGAGGCAACGCTGCGGTGGGGAGGGGGGGGGGGGACGACAAAGGCTTAATAAGGACACGCATGGCCCCTAGAGGAGAGATGCATCTTCCTCCCTGCCTACGACCTCCGCTTCTAGTACAAGCCCGCCGTGCCACATGTCAGTTTCCCTGCACGACCAGCTCAAAATCTCTTGCTCTCCGTCTCCTCCTGAGAAAATGGGCTGCCCTCTGTGATCTACCCCAAGAGATCTCCTCGAAGAGGAGAGATGAAGAAAGCGGCATTTCTAGAATCTGCGGCCAGTCAGTCCCAGGACGGGAGGTGATGCCCTTCCCTGTCCCCTTAGCCTCAGAAGCTTACCCTCCACCTCCAACCGAGCCAAGGACCGGGCCGGTCCGGCCTGGAAGCAGACTTCACCGGTGTCCTCGGCTCGCAGCTCGTTCAGCACCAGAATGTGTTTCTTCCCTGGGGAGGGGAGGAGGGGAAGGTAGCGAGGCTTCAGCCGCTTCCCGGGAGGATTCGAGAACGCAGGTGGTACCCGAGCAGGTCCCAGGGAGGTTCCGAAGTGTCGGTGTGTGGAATTGGAGAGAGGAAGCAAAAAAGGAGCTAAGCAGGACTCGAAGCTGGCGGCGGAGGAAAGTCCGGGAGACCCTGGTAGTGGGGCCGAGGGGCGGGGCCTGATCGAGCTAGAGGCGGAGCTAGTCCTAATGGGGCGGAGTGTGCCTCAACCCTGGGCAAGGTAACAACGGGTCACAGAGGGTAGAAAAGCGGCCAGACCTTCCTGTCGGATGCGGACGCGGTCTCCGGGTCTCAGGGCACGGCCTCCGAGCTCCCAGCGCCCGGGAATCTCGGCCTCCGACACGGTGCACTCGAACGTGGCGCTGTTTCCTTCGCGGGCGCTAACGGACCGGAGCTCACGGAGCACACACACCTCGCGCTCTGGGGGCGGAGCCGGGGGCGTGAGGCAGGGGCGGGGCGGAACCAGGACACACCCGCCACGCCCCCTCCCTAAAAGTGTGTAAACTGTGGGGGAACACCCTTCTGCAGGCCAGGTGGCTCAGAGTAGTGCCCAGCCCCGGAATCCCTGGGTACCCACCGCGCACTGTCAGCCGCGCGGGCCCGGCCCGGGCCGTCCCCACAACGCAGCTGTAGGTTCCAGCGTCCGAGGAATTGCAGCGCCGCAGCAGCAGAAGGCGGCGCGTGCCGAGCGCCTGGAGCCGGAGCCTCGGGCTTAGAGAGAGTGCCTGCCCATCCTATGGACAGCATTTAAAGCCGATCAGACCGAGCCCAGCAAGACCCTGGGAGCCGCCGCCGCGGAAGGTGGCAGTGTTCTCTATGCATGCCAAGCTATCTAGAGGCTCACCAGTGGGGTTCACTGTGTTCCCCTGCTAGGGTTGGATCATCCCACATCTTCCCTTTCTGGTCAGTTTTCTGAGAAGGTGCCATCCCTTGGGGACTTTTGAGTCAAGAATTGACACCAACGGCACAGAAAGCCCAGAGCTCTTCATGGACCCACTGAGTGTGGATTCTAAAATTGGTTTCCAACAAAGGCTCTACCCCTTTTTTCTAACATTGAGCAACTAACTCCGTTCATCCCGCAGAACATATTCCTTAGATAACCAACCCGGTGACAACAAAGTGTCCTTTCACAGGGCGTTGTAAGGATTAAAAAGGATTAACTGTGCCATCAATCTCAGCCTAGTGCCAGTTTCACTGGTCCGGTGAGTGTTAGTTTCTTGCCCGTACTATTGTTATGTGCACAAGTCTGCACTAGGGCCAGGCTCTGACCTTCTCCCATACAGCATCAGCCAAAGTCTGGGAAAGCTCACACTCGAAAGTGGCCGTGTCACCTTCAGTCACTTCTAGGTCCTGTGGCCCCCGCACAAAAGTCACTGGGACCTCTGAGAGTGGGTACGGGGAGAACAAGGCCAAGGGACAGGGGTGAGTGAGGAGTGAGGGCCCAGTATGCACAACACACACACACACACACACACACACACGTCAGTGGCAGACACATGCAGGCGGTCAGAAGAGGTCACTAGTGAGTGGAGGACACTGGACGACAGAAGTTCAAAGGAGATGCTGGAAAATGGGAGACACAGCAGGGCCGGAGAGTCAACGGGGTAGGAGTGACTAGCTGGAAGTCATATGAGGTGGTCAGCAGGGGACATGCTGGGGCTGGAGGCAAATGGTGGGAGCTGAAGAGATGCCTAAGGGGTCAGTCATAGATGTATGGACAGCGGTGGCCACACAGCTGGAATGGATAGCAGAAGACACTGGGCTTGGGGGAGGTGGACAGGACGCATAAAAACTCCACACAGCCTGAGGTCCATTAATGCCACAGGAGATTAATGGGGAAATCATTAGGGCTGGAAAAATGGGGGCCCTCAGGCAGAATCAGTACTAGAGCACTCTTCAGTGGCTCCTCAGTGGAAGAACGACAAGGGGCACATTTTAGGCAGCAAAGGGGATCACTAAGTCGGATTAAGAGTGGTCAGGTAGATAGGCTAGAGGGACCACACAGACACGGGATTGCTCAATGTAGCACCGGTTTTCAGGGCTACTGGCAACTGAGCAGTCATACACATGGTGTTCATTAGAAGGGCCCAAACAGATCCAAAGGGTCCAGGGGTTCCCCACTTGGGCAGGGTGGTCAGTAGGAGCCACACGGTTGGTTAGATCAGTGGTCACACACAGGAAATTAGCCACACCTCTCACTGAGAGCCGAGCAGCGCAGCGAAGGGTATCCGCAGTGAAGGAGACACAGCCTGAGTCAGCCAGACCTAGATCGCTGAGCACTAAGCGGTGAGTACGGCCTTCTGCATAAATGTGGCACTTGGGTCCTGGGTGCAGCAGGACTCCACCCTGGGCCCACTCTCCAGTCACTCCCTCCTGGGACAGCTCCAGCTGGAAGGTGGCGCTGCCCCCCTCAATGACAGTCACATCCTCCAGAGGCCGAAGTTCCCTCAGCTGCCGCGCTGGTGTGGGAAGATGAGGAGAGAGGGAGGATGGTATCTCTAGCTTTGGGCAGGGTTCAGGGGTTCACTCAGCCCTCAGCACTCTCCACACCACCCCCAGCACTCAATGGGAGACCCTAACTATAGAAGTCAGACTGGGCAGATGGGAGGAAAGGACAGACACAGTTTGGTCAGGGGAGAGGTGTATGGAGGTTATTAAAAGGAAAACACACAAAAGGAATGTTAAGAGTTTAGGGGGGAGGGGGGAGAAGTGTGGGAAGGCACATGGTGTGGGGTTCTGTGACATTGGAAGGAACAGGCAATTTGAAGCCAGACCCATTGGGATTGGAGCCTAGCTTTAACATATAATTTGCATATGGACTGTGTAATCTTTGACAGCTGCTCTGACTTTTGCTGGCCACAGCTTTCCCTATTGCACTAGATAAAGATCAGTGACACTCTGGATCACACTGTGATGAACACGTATCACTGATGACAGCCAATCACCAAGACCTGACATTTCCGCTAACTTCCTCCAAGTCTCTAGAGTAGAGAGGTCAGCCCCAGTTTTAGGGAGACTTGTTCGAGAGAGCTTGTGTGGGGTCAGTCAGGCAGCTAAGTAGTGGGGGGGGGGCTCCAGCATAGGGTGGCGGGTGAAAAGTGCTATTAGCCAGTCATTCTTCTGAAGAATAAATACAGAAGAAAGAGTCTTTCTGGAGTATAGCATTTATGTTGCTAACAAAGCCATCTTGGAAGTGGGAGGTGGAAAGCAAAGTCCACGCGGACTTCTGAGGTAACCAGAAAACAATAGAAAAAAAAAAGAGAGAGAGAGAGATGCTTTGCTTCAAGCAGGGAGGCTTCAGGCTCTAACCCCTGATTGGGATGGCCAGGGCAGACTGTCCTTAGCAGAAAGGGGCACTTTGGTGGGGGGTCTCGGGGACTCTGGGCCAGCCAGGTGGGTGATG